GTTTATTATTAAATTATAAAAATTCGTATAAAAAAGTAACAAAATAGATTAGATTCATCATTGACTCGATTTTTGGCAATTGTTCAACCAAATTGATTCGTCCATCAGTTTTCTGTATTTAGTATCATTTCACTCGAATTCCAAGATTTAAGAAGATAACAAAGACATTTATTTAAGATACTATATTCGATAGATTGAAAGAGTAAGCTTCTTATGTGAATATTCTTTGAATTTGTTTGAAAAATTTCACATATATAATATACAATACATATGTACGTAGGAATGCGCCGAGTGCTACTGTAGCCGTTGTTTGGCTCTATAAGTTAGCTTGAATTTTATATTATCTCCTGCTTCTAAATAAATAAATAAGTTAATGTTCCTCTTCAGCTGTAAGTGAAGCAACTCGCATGGCAAGCAGACAGGGTATGCAGGGGCAGCATGTTGATGGCGTGCGCGATTTGGTTATAAATGAAATTTTGAAATGCTTAAAGTCGCAATGTGCTCGAGTGTGAGTGTAAGTGTGAGTGCGAGTGTGAGTGTGAGTGCAGCATTTCAATTGAAAAGACGAGGGGCGCTGCCCCGAGGGTTGCCTTTGGCATTGCCGCCACTTTAGTTGCAGTTGCAGTTGTTTCTGCGTCGCATCCTCGGAATGCATAAGCATAAATATCACGACGCTGAAAACGACGATGACGATAATGATGATGATGATGATGATCATACGAGGCCGAAGCAATTGCAGTTGATGATGGAGTCGAAGTTGGAATCGTGGCTGTTAGCGCAGTAGCAGGCAACATCTTAAATATATTTTCTAATTACTTGTTCGCGCTCGCATGATGCTATCAGGTTGCCGCCTTGCCCCTGCTCTCATCCCCGCACCACCAGCAACAGCAGCAGCAGCAACAGCAGCAGCAGCAGCCTCAGCCCCAGCTGCAGGCGCAGTTCCAGCTCCATTTGCATTTTGCAACGATGCAGCTTTTTTTTTTTTTTTTGCCTGGGGTTGGCCTGAGTGCATTGGCGACACACAAATTGCAAATATGATAGAAGAAACATGCTGCGGCAACTGCTGCTGCTGCTTCTGATGCTGCTGCTGCTGCTGCATCCTCTCGTTTTGCGAATAATTATTGCAATGCGTTTTGTTGTTGTTTCTGCCCTGCACGCATCTACTCGAACTGACTTATGTGTGCGTGCTTGTATGCATTCATACATATATATCTGGTATATACATGTGTGTATGTGTGTATGCATGCAGATTTGTTGGGAATTCTTCAGAACACGCCACCTCTTCAGCCACTCGCGACTTTATGTTCGCTCATTCACTCATTCATGTTCTTATAGAACACGCATCTGCTGCCCTTCCCCCTTGCCATACTACACCAGCCCACCCCAGCCCACGCCACGCCCCTTTGCAGGTCGCTCGCTGCGCTTTAAAGTAAACAATGCCATATTTTGCTGGCTGGGAACTTTAGCACATCCCGAGCTAAATTACTTTCGGCTGCCAATGGCAGAGGCGAGTGGGCTGCAGCTCTTTAAGCAGATATATTTGCATATGCACTCATCTTCTGCATGGTGTTTCTAATTAGCAGGAATCGCCTCGGCTGCCCGGCGAAAGTCTTGAACCACAACCGCAGACTAATTGGCCAGTCTCTGAACTCTAGCCCCATGCACGGACCAGGAAACTGTTGATGATTTTACCATCGTATGTGTTTTTCACTTCACTTTCTTTTGTAATTTCTCCACAAGCTGGCACTTGTCCGTTGCAGTGCAGTGGCTGACCTGGGAGATACCCTCGATGAGTATGCCAACTATCTATATTTAGCATTCTTCATGTAGTTGGAATAACTATTTGATATGAAGAGAGTCGATCCGGTTATAGTTGTGATTTCTCATCTGCACTGCCAATTACAGGGTATACATGAATGAAGAAAAAAAGCATGTCCTGTGGGGCTCTACATGGATAGATGCAACTGACAAAACGGAAGACACAAAAACAAAGTGAGAGAAACTAACGAGCACACACACGCACACACACACGCACACGCCCATTTCAGCTGCATAAACATTGTTCTGGCCAGGACTTCTGCTGCCACAGAGATTGAGCTGGCAGCTCGAGTGCTTTTTGCTGCCAACTCCTGACTGCTCGCCTACAGCTAGCAGAGTTGCTACAGTTTGCAGCTTCTGTTTGGCTTATTTCTACAAATCTTGTCTCTTTTATTCTTTTCTTCTTTTTTCCATTTTTTTTTTTTTTTTTTTTTTTGGCAAGCGTTTGTTGTTGACAAGGCTTTTGGGGCACCCGATGTTGCAGGCGTGGCTTCAAGTGCGTGCAATTGCTGACAGTCGGACTGCCGGACAGTGGGACATTTGGGTCTGCGGTGCGGAGCTGGGATTAGTGGATCAGAGCTATAATTCCATTTAATGGCGGAGCTGCTTTGATTCAATTTCAACGCCCGCTGAGCTTGATTCAATGGATGAGTGGCTAAATTTAGACGCTAATTTGGCGACCCGCTGTGCCAACCGGAGCTCGATGTCTCAGTGGCCAAACATTCATGTTCTTCTCAGAGCCGTCTCATGTTACTCCGGCAGCCGGACAGACGGGCAGACAGACAGCAGCAAAGGCTGAGCTGCAGTGAGTCAGCGACAGACAGAGACAGCAACAGCGACAGAGACAGAGAAAGAGAGTGTCTCGAATTACGCTTTGCTTCCATCTCCCTCTACCTGGGATCTCGTGGGCATCAACCTGCTATGCAGTCATAACTTGGTGGCATTTTCATCGTCAGCTTCATTATATTCGACAGACTGCATGCACCTTATCTCGGCCATAATCTTGTCACACAAACTGATATTATCATTTAGTAGCGGATCGCTTGTATCTGCACTAAAATAGCTGAACTTATTGCGAACAGAAAAGTTGGCAATTTTCTTGCCCTGCGTTTGTAGCCTAAGTAAGCTCTTTGGAAATGAGCATAAATTGCATGATTTGTGTCGGGCACAGGGAGACTGGAGTCAATGTGTGTCTATAGATCTTCTGTAACCCAATCCATTTAGATAAAGGTATATGTGCTTCTCCACAATTCGTTTATCACCTATGCATAAAGTTCCTTCGATATTAACGCCTGAACAACCTGGCAAACTTTTAGTTTGGTTAGTCTGTTGGCTTGACAAGTGCTAAGGATTTATTAAATGAGGCCTTTTACCACCTGCTCTATTGACAGGTGCTCATTCATAGCCACAAATTAAAAAGTTATACTAAGAATGAGTTCGAGCTCCTAGAACTGGCATAATGTCTGCAATAGTCTCTAGGACTGGATGAAATATTTAATGATATATATGCTATATATATACTCGTTTATATATTCAGAATATAGTACATTTATTACTGGGTATATTAGTTTCTGCAAATGTGCGTAACAAGCAGAACGATAAGGTATAAGATATCACCTGATAAAGTATGCTGAATATCGATGGAACCAATCTACCGAGTGGATTCGTTCGCCTGTCCGTCTGTTTGAACATGAATATCTCGCAAATTACAGAATTTAGGCACTTGAATTTATTTTTTACACATTTATTTATCCTATGACTCTATTATCGAGAGACCGCGATATTTAGGCATTGCTCTTATATTATGAGGAGTCTATATACCTTATTCAAATAGCTGGGATTTGAGTACATTTAAACATAATTTTAACAACTTCATCACGATGCTATATATAAATCGGATTTAGCTTATACCCATAAGAACCTTATAATATGCTTATTCGTAATAGCGGTACTTACAACTTATTGACTTAATGTTTCTACCTCGCACTCAATGCAATAACCACTAAGTGCAGCCAGGTACAGACCTGGATAAACTGCTCATATAAGCTCAAGGTAGCATTTGTTTGTGTGAGCGTGCATGCTCACACTGCTTTAAACAGGAGCAAGGTTCAGGATATTACTCCCGACAAAAGCTCTCTTAATTGTTTTCCATTACCTTTTTAAATTTTGTATCAGCAACCATGCGCAGGTTTTGAGTATGTTCTTGTGAGATAATTTCAATTTCATTGTGAAAAATTTCGACCTAGATCTTACTTCATAGTTCTACCCTGAGCTTCCTGATTCGTGATAGTGCCCTACCATCGATAGTGCCGAAAGTGCCATCTCTCCACTTCCTGCTTTATAAAGTATATTTACAGAAATGTACACTAGAAATAAAATATTTGAGTATTCGCTTCATACATTCTAGGCTTTAAAACTTAGAAGAAATACTTCCTTTGTACAGAACAGAAGGATACTCTCAAATAGTCATATTAAATACCCTTGAGACTCACTACATCCACAATCTGAGTTTTCGCATTTATATTTTACATATTTGTCTTTTGTTTATTTGGAATTTCATATGTTTGTAGAGAGCATCGCAAAGTCGTGCGGATGCAGCTCCCTAAATATTTATGGGATTTTCGCTAACCGCGTTGTTTTCAATTTATGCTTCGGCGAATATAAAAAGCTATTAGAAAAACTAAAGCCCAGTGGCGGGCAAATAGCTGGGATACGTGGCTAGAGGAGGTCGTCGTCGCATTGCAGCCGCATCCAAAGACTCACTTAATTAGCGGCAATTAATCTCCCTCTCTCTCTCTCTCTCTCTCTCTCTGCGACGGAGGGGGCAGAAGGTGTTGCCGCAGATTCATAGAGGCTTGCCATGTGGACGACATGTATGTATGCCCGCTGGCAGCTGATGCCTGATGCTGGCTGGCTGGGTTGCTGTCCTGGCTGTCTGGCTGGGCGCTAAATGGAATGCGAGTCTTCGCTTGCAAGCGCGCTTGCATTTGAATGCTCTGAGATGGCTCACTGGCTCCAGCCAGTGAAGCGTGCCAGCGACTGGGGTTGGGGCCAGCTGGGGCTGAATGGCAGCTGAAGCTAGCTGAAGATTCAGGAAGTTGTTTGGGCATTCGTGCAGCTGCTGTTTTAGCACTTTGCTACTAAAATATTTAGTTAATTGTCGCTAACTCGACTCATTACAGCGCCTAGCGAGTGGAGCATCAGGCGGCAACATGTGCCATGGAGAGCCTGGGCCTGGGCAGCAGACGCAACAATCACACCACCAGCACCACCACCGCCACCAACAGCAGCAGCGGCAGCGGCAGCGGCAGCAGCACCAACAACAACAACAACGGCAACAGCAACAGCAGCGGTGGCGGCAGCAGCAGCAACAGCAGCAGCCATCATCCCAGCCATGCCCATCATCTGGCCAAGCTGCACGTGCACTCGCACACCCACACAAAGCTAAAGCAGCATCAGCACACGCATCAGCACTCTCACTCGCACTCGCACTCGCATCAGCCCGCCAATCAGAACTATTACACGCAGCAACAGACACAGCTGCAGCGGCTCAAGCAGCAGCAAAAGCTGCAGCAGCAACAACAACAGCAACAACAGCAACAACAGCAGCAGCAGCAGCTGGAGGGCATCCATGGCCTGCGCAAAGGCCTCTGCTTGGGAGTAAACGTGGCCGCGGCTAAGCAGAGCGCCGGCTGCCTGCAGTTCCCGCCGCCGCCGGACTATCCGCCGCCGGCTGCCACTAGTCCACTGCACAAGTCCGCCGGCAGCTCGCCCATCGCCGTGGCGGCCATTGTCAGCAGCAGCCTGGGCAGCGGTGCGACCGGCAGTGGGGCAGGGAGCGGCATCGCTGTCAACGGGAACGGGCGGCGGCAGCTGCTGCCGCGCTACCCCGATCCCGATCCGGACGCCATCGAGATATGCAACGAGCAGCAGGACGCCTCGCCCCACCATCATCTCAGCCAGCTGGCGCGCCAGAGCAAGACGCTGGGCCGCGAGGGCAGCGACTCGGCGGCGGTCAAATGGAACGCGCTGCAGCAGGCGGCCAGCCTCAGCCACATGCACCACCAGCAGCACGACTACTCGTATGCGTACTACGAGCCGGGCGCCGCCATGCGCCACTCCAATGTGCCCAAGCCGGACGGCGCGGCGAACGGCGGCGTCGCGGGCGCCGGCGGCAGCTGCTGCGGCGGCGCACAGGCGGCACAGGCCGCAGAGACGGGTCCGCCGCCGCCGCCCAACTCGATACGCGCGCTGCTTTCCAAGGGCAAGAAGAACAAGCAGCTGGTGTCGCCGGCGACGCTGCAGTCCTACCAGACGCGCTACCACAAGGTGACCGCCAGCACGAGCAGCCAGAGCGAGAATTTCTACGAGGAGATCAATGCGGCTGCGCTGCAGTCGACGGCGACCGGCAGGAAGGCGACGCAGCAGCTGCAGCTGAAGCAGCAGCAGCAGCAGCAGCCATTGGGCTGCGCCGTCGGCTCGCACTCGGCGGGCTCGCTCAACCAGACGCTGGTCGAGGAGGAGCTGCGCCGCGTGCAGCATCGGCATCACAAGATCCTGGGCGAGCTGAACCTGAGCGTGGAGGCCATGCTGATGCCCGAGAGTCCGCCCAAGTGCAGTCCGCCAGCTGCCCCGGCGGCGGCCGCATGCGCCTCCGGCACGCCGCCCAAGCCCAGCCCGACGGTGTGCGTGACGGCGACCAGCGGGCAGCCGGCCGTGCTGGCCAGGCTCACCTCCACCTCGGCGGACAATATCTGTGATAGCAGCGACGCGGCCGGCATCGAGCAGCTGCTGGCGACGCTGAAGGGCGCGCATCCGCACAACGCCCTGGCGGCCGCCTGCGACCTGGACAGCGGCTTCAGCGGCAGCAGCGGCGCCAGCTACATCGGCAGCCTGCGGCTGAGCAAGACGCATCACATCAAGTGCGCCCGCCAAACGCCCACGGCGTCCGCCGCCTATGCCACACAGAGCTGTCGCTCCTTTCAGCGGGCCACCGCCTACGACGAGGCGGCGATCAGCGGCAGCTCCGCCTCCAATTGCAGCTTCCTGGCGCGCGCCTCCTGCGGCCGGCGCATACTCAGCTGCGCTCGCATCCGCGCCGCCGAAGACCCAGGACCCAGCGTGCCCACCGAGTCGAAGGCGCGCAGCTTCTGGAATCGCAAGGGATGGCGCAAGCTGCCCGGCTTCTCCACATCCACCTCAAGCATCAACGACGCGGGTCTCTCAGGTGAGTGAGCTTTGCCCATTGAATATTTAGCTATATGAAAAGCGAGTTGAAATCTTTGCGTTCATAAGGACAGACGGACGGATGCCAGACGGTGAGGGCTAAATCAACTCAGCTAATTTCCCTGATTAAGAATATAAATACTTTATAAGGTCCGCCACGCCTCTTTCTGCCTGTTATATATACTATGACAAAAAAGTTATACTCTGATTTGCCATTCTTAATGGGTCCAGGGCATACAGAGACCCATAAACGTACCCCCGACCAACGGCCAGTTCTTGTTAAGGACAGCCAGGTGGCGCCACAGTTTCAGCCAGTCTCGAAGTACAGTAACAGCAATAAGAGTAATAAGCGAGTGAAAGTTGCTGATGGACATGTTCGTTTATTGAAGTCTGCTGCACATTGGAACAGTGTGACAGATCGTTCAGTTGGATTAGATGGGTTAGTTGGGTTTCTCCTTTATTTCTAGCTTGTCTTCGAAGCCCTCTTCGCCAGCCGGCAATAGATTATCTGGGTTTGCTGCCCTGAAGGCTAGATCATTTGCGAACTGGAATGCTTCGTCTGGATCATTCATGTAGTACTCCATGTCGTCGTCGAAATTGCGGAACTCGTTGAAAGGAATGTTAAATACCTCCGATTCCATTTGCAGACGGCGCCGATCCTGGCCACGCCAATCGGAAAACAGCCACATGATACTCATTTTGGCGCGATTGTAGAGCCGCATCAAGAAGTCAGCCACAGCATCCATGTTGTATTTACCTGAGTTAGCCACCGATTAATTACCTGTGCAGCTTATGCGATTGCGACTTACCTAAAAGATCTAATTCATACAGATGTACGAGAAATGCAATAAAGCAAAGTAAATGGATTTTTGTGTTTTCAGTATTCCAGCAATGATGCCAATAAAGCTTCGACTCAATGACAAATATACAGGACTAATGCCAAGAAGCAAAATCCGAAGCCTACTTACGAAAAGTGAAAGCATCCCATATAGATACGGGCAAAATGAAAACGACACTTTAACATGTTCACAGATTCTGCTAAGGCATAGATGCATAAGCATGGCTGCTTACCCATTCCATTTCTTTTATCTTTCACTCTCTCTCTCTCTATGCAACTTCGCTTCTCTTTCGCCTTCACTGGCTCCCTGGCTTTAATATCCACAATATAGAATGAGCCGAGTTTTTAGTGGGGAGTGCATGATTTGAAGATACCCTCAGCTGTCTTGCACGTTCAAGTCCTTTTAAATTTCAAAATCCCGTATCCAGAACCCATTGGAATTGGGAAGTCAGTGTATAATGGTTGTGTTCAAATGTAAATGACAAATTTTTTATTTATTTATTTACCAGTTGCAATTAATATAAAATTAACTCTAGCCAAAGACTAAGCACTGTCAGCAGGGGCCTTCGGCTTGATATTGAAATGTTGAAAAAGAAATTTCATGCTGCCATCTGTTGCTTGAAATTCTTAGACCGTGCTGGCGCCACCTACAGTTGGACGTACCGCAACTAAGCGCTTGGTTTGTGTCCTCGCTATGAGGTGTTGTTCCCCACTTGGCTTTGCTCTGTATTGCTGTGTCTCTTGTTGCATACTTTTAGGTAAATCTTATTTCACAACTATTTATAATTTATAAATGACGCGCCGCTAGAAGCAAAACTTCCAACTGTTGATAAATTGTATAATATACCATGAAAATTAACTAAATGAGTTTAATGAGCCTGCACAAAGGCAGAAGCAGACTTAAACTTTCACTTTTGTTAGTCATGTATGCTTTAGTCATAGTCAAAACTATGCATAGTCTGACTCTGGAGCAGAGAATATCCTTGTGGAGCACTGCCTTTTTAGTAGGACTAGGACTTGAATTAAGCTTGGATCTAGCTCAGAGCGCAACAGGCAGTCGGGTCCTACTAACTACATACCCCCCGCCTCACAGACTCCACACACGCACACATGCACACACGCACACTTGCATATGCAAGCAGTCAGCCAGCGTGATAATTTTTGTGGCACATGCTCCGCTGGCTCGGCGCTCGTCGTTGGACAATCGCGTCGCAGTCGTCGTCGCCTCGTCAGCGTCGTTTTGGTTTCGCTTGCCGTTTTTTAGTAGTCGCTATTGTTGTTGTTGTAATTGCTGTTGTTGGCGGCTCATTTTGGGGCTCCATTCCCATTTATCGGCGCATTGTGGATTCAGTAGAATCGATCTTGTCGGGCTTGCCGCATGCTTGCCACGCCGTGCCATCATACACACACATTTATATGATATTTGTGTGTGCGTGTGTTATTTTTTTTTCGTATCTCCACAAATAATAGTGCGTGCACAAACTCAAATAGAGACACACACAGAGCAGAGAGTGTGTGAGTGTGTTCATCTCTTGAATATTCTTTTCGTCTTTTATTTTGTTGTGACTCTCGTTCGGAGTGAAGTGTCTAAAGTGCAAGTGCAAGTGTTTTATGCATGGATTGTGCCAAATAATCTGTGAGTCTTGATGTGTCTATGTCTGTATGTGCGAAGTCTGCATGTGTGTGCTGTGCTGTGCTGTGCTGTGCTATGTGTACTGTTGTTGTCGTTGTCTTTGTCGTAATGCTCGCTGCTCCATGACCAACACAGCCAAACTCGACCTGGCCGAACCCGTCGATCCCGTCGACCCATTCACAATAGCGCTGCAGCCAGCAGTCGGCTCAACTATTTGGTTCACTCTGGGGGAGGCGTTTACGCTGCGTTGTCGCTGCCAGCAAACAAGCACACACACACACACATACATAGATGCATATGTATGGGAATACAGATGAGCGTACCCTCATAAGAATTCAAAAATAAATCGACAACTAATTAATTTGAGCTGCGAACCTAGCAGCCGCCGTCCACAACTTTGCATTATCAGTCGAGCGCATTTTAAGTACTCGAGGCAGCAAATACACTCACAGAGCAGTCGACTGCACCCGGCTGCCTAATACCTGCTCAAAACTAATAATAGCTGTAAATGTATTTATAGATCATATATCAGTCTGGCTCAAAGGCTATCAAAAGTCACTTCGAGCTTTAGGCGAGCATGGCATGCCACCAATATACTCGCTTCATTCCGTTGTTTTGTTCTTTCTTTTTTTGAGAGCTGTCGATTTATTAACAATTCATATGGAAGCAAATGTTTCAAGCAATATTTCGGTGGCTGATCTCAGATTTGGCAATTGTTGATAATCACAGCCAGGCGATGACCCGCTACAACATTTATTTCCATTACTTAACAAACACACACACACAGATACACACAGACACGCATACACCTAGGCAGCGTAAAGACAATAGCAGCAAGTGATCGAAACGTATGTTTAAATATATGTACATACATATCTAAATATAACTAACATAATCAGCATCTCACAAGTTGTATGCATTCGTGTTATGCATTTTAACGATGGCTTTCCACCTGATCAAATCCGCATTGGATGCCAGCCACCAGCATCAGCATCACTCCTTGGTGCGCAATAATCACGGCCTGAATCGCGACCAGCAGAACAACGGCGTCGTTCTCTTAAAATGTGCGTATTAATCTCTCTAATTTCTAATCATAACCATCAAACGTAATCCTAATACTAACTACATATGTGATGTTACTAAACATGGACAAAGGAAAATATATATATGTATATATTTCAATTTAAGTTGCATTCGTAAATTGTATATTGTAATAATTAATTTTTATATGACATGGGGTTTAATATTAATTTGGAGGGATATGTGTGGGGGGCCTTTAACTTAAAGTGGTATGCTACTGCTTAAGAGAGACAAAAGGTTCACTTCTAGATACTCTATCAATTTTCTGCTCTATCAAATTGCAATTTAACATTGATTACACTTTAAATCAGTTAAGTAATTAAAAGTAATTAAAACTGTTGAAAGCGGGCATCAGTAATTGCATAGCACTCATTCATACATTGTCAGACGAAAGAAGTTGAATCATTTTTGCTAATAATTAAGAGTGAACGAATTGGGCGATATACATAGGTCTATCCGAAATTGCCTCCATTGCCGTATATCCGGTGTTGCTTTTAGAGTTAGTCCGAGTGTAGATCAGAATACAGCAATCGATTAAATGGACTTTATTGATTTGAAACCCAATTGGACTAAATCACCTGATCTTGCGAATCAAATGAATTTGGGCTTTCATCAAAAGTTTCTTAGAGTATATCAATTATCGTGAGCATTTGACGAACTATTAATTTGGTAACAAATTAAGAATGACTAGACCAAGCGAGTATTATATATGTATATACATGATGAGTATATGAGTATGATATATAGATATGCATTAAGTCTTTAGCTCCAGGCGGACAGCTAAATGGGCATTGCTCACAACAAATACACACTATATAATGAGCATAATGATTATTTAAGTATATTATTAACTAAATACAAATCTAGGCATATGTTTCCAGTACTAAATAGTGCACAGTTATATATGATTCAAATGAATTGCTTTTGGTTTCAGTCCAACTACATCAACATCTCCTGTTGATTCACACGCAAAATGTGAGATGTATTTTGTTCCATTTTGGTTTCATTTATTCCACTTAAAATTGAGATTAATCGATAATTTGATTTAATTTCCAATTAGATCTAATGAATCGCACATAAATATTTATTCTGTTGCCTTTGTTTTCACTTTGTTGTACTCAGCTGGCTCTTAGCCTGGAGTTGTTGTTGCTCTTGTTGCGATATTCGGAACTGGCTATTTGAGGCATTTGAATGCGGCCTACTGCTTTGTGCTTGGCCAAGGAAAACGCAATTTGCGGCAGGTTCTTGCCAATTTAGCGGGCCAGCAACCATTTGGTCATAGCCAAAACAGCTGCGGGCCAAATGAATCAGCCAAGTTGTTTATGGGCAACGCCTTCGTGCACATTTCTCTTGCGGCTCGATCTGTGCGCCCTTCCCGCAGCTCCAATACAGATATATATACATATATACATACGTGTATAGTATATATATATAAATTGTTTTTTTTTTTTACTATTTTCTTAAATTTTTTATGCAGAGTGACTAATAACGCGTAATGTGATTGTAATTGTTGTTTGCTACACAGAAACTATTCAGATGTGTGCATGTACATATGTATGTATATATATATACGTACATGTGCAATAAATAGTATAGTATATGTTATTCATAAAGAAAGAATTGATTTGTGAAATACCCTTGCTGGTGGCAGAGGTAAATGCATTTAAAACTTGAAACGTTGCCAAGTTTCGGCATGAATACACATACACACACACACACACACACACACACTGTGACTCTGATCATGAATATTTTCATATATATGCACACATGTATACATATACTCGAGTACATGCATACTTTATGAGGTTAAAAGTCAAGTATTTTGCTGTGCGTTACACATGGAGCGAGACAATGGCAACACCCTTCGGCGAGAGTGCAGAAACGAAAGAGCAGACACAAATTAATTAAAAGCTCGCAGCTACCATAATAACAACAGCAGCCACAATAGATCTGGCAATAACAATAACAATAACTATAACAATAACAATAACAATACAGCCAGATTCACACACACACACACACATACACGTAATATGAATGCGAAGCGAAAAGAGAGGCAAAGATATGTTAAGTAGCTGTAAACGAGATCGAAAGCGAACGCGAAATGGCGCCAAACGGAAGGCAGATAACATAAATTATAAAATATAAATTATAGCTACATATATAATTATGCAATTTGCTTAATAGACCCTATATATATATTAAGAGATCAGACATAATATTTTAATTACATTTAATCGTATTATAGCAATATTACAAAATGTAATCAATAGATACTTACAGAAAAGACAACTGAAATTTGGATTAATTTCGTTTTAGTTTTACTTGAAAAAATACTTTTTATTTATTTTTTATTATACATATATATTTTTACTATATTATTTTATTTTTTTTTTTTTTATATCATTTTTCCTATACATTTTTTTACCTATTTATTTAAAAAACAATTTTTTTAATTAAAAGAAAAAATATGTATAATAAATATTTCATTTTAAAAAATTATTTTTAATTTAAGTTTTATAATGTTTTTATTTTTTATTTTCACTTTAGTTTTTAGTTTAAGCAGCAATGCTTCAGCTTTCAAGCATGATGAGCGCTAATATCTCTTCTGTTATGTCAGCACGTCAGCCAGCACACGCATCTAGGATTTTTTATTTAATTTTCGATTCTATCCTATTATTTCAAGTTGATCAGGTGCCCCAGACATCCAGTGGGTATTATCTTCCATTCTTCTCGTGTTGTTATTGATAGCTACATCTCAATTAAGTTTTAGCCCTTATCGTCCTCAAACTCTACAAATCTCTTAGCTTGATTATGTTCATCGCCGGGATTACTTTCTTAGTTATATCTCTGGGAACGATTTAAGGCTATACAAAATAATTTTCCTTCGAATACACTCACTTCCCATTTCAATGGTTTTCTTCTCCCTTCTTCAGTTCCTGAGATCCCTGAGAGTAACTCTCTGGCAGAGTACTGGCCAAAATACTCCAACTTAATAGCTATATTTTTCATGTTGCGCCATTCTATATATGTATGTATGTATGTATGTATATATACTACATATGTATGTCTATATATGCATATTCGAAAACTCGGTTGCATTTCAAAGGGGTCATCACTCACTTGGAGTTCACCTCGCCTCGAAAAAGTCACGGGCAATAACTCTTTAGCCATATACGAATGTAATAAATTAAGCCAGTGTGAATGCCTAGACAACAGTGGCAGACTAGTTAATGCCCCACGAATCAATATTTTACAACCTGTGCCAACTAGAGACCGGCAGATCGTGGCGATGTGACTAAGCTTGTCTTAGCCCTAATCAATTAGCACCAATTACAGGGTATTTTAAGCACGAGTACTTAGTGCCGGCCGACTTGGCTTTTGTTCTTTTTCCTCTTTTTCCGCTTATTCATTTCATTTCATTTCGCACAAAGCGCAAATGGAAAAAAAAACAAAAACAAAAGGAATAAAATCTAAAGAAAGTCATTAATAAATGAACTTCATAGTGAATTTTGCTAAATGTGTATGCATGTGTGTGTGTGTGTGTGTGTGTGTGTGTGTGTAGCACATCTGAAGCTGCGTGTGCACGGGTCACGTCAATTGTTAACTAATCTTGGACCTATCCTAAGCAGCCAAGTGGTCATTCAATTCAATTAGCAAACATTGCTAACAATTGAACAGTTTTCAGTCAGCAATCAGCAATCAGCAGTCGGCAGTCCGCAGTCGTCAGCCAGCGTCTAGCTGGATGGGAGCCATTTGTATCTGTATCTATGAGACACAAGCAGTAGCATATGGAATGCATTGCACTCGGCTATCGCCATTGTGATCGTGTGTGCGTGTGGCTCTTTGTGTATGTCGAACTGTCGAACGTCAGCTGTTGTTGCTATTGTTGCTGACATTGCTGCTGCTCCCGCTGCTGCTGCTGCTGCTGCTGCTGCTGCTCCCGCTGCTGCTGCTGCTCCTGCTGCTCCTGCTGCTCCCGCTGCTGCTCCCTCTGCTGCTGCTGTTTGTTATTGTTGTCTGTCGCGACATTAGCGCGTGTTTGAGTGCCGCTTAAAAACGCCTCGTTAATCAATGTCGTCGCCTCGTGAGTTAATTGCAAATGTGACAGCAGCAGCAACAGCAACAGCAACGGCGACAACTGCAACTGCAACTGGGCCCAGGCACAAACATAAACACAAACACAAGCAAGCCCAAGCCCAAGCCCATCGCAATTGCCAGTGCCTGTGCTCATTTCCCCATTTCCATGTCCAAGTCGCCAGTCAAAATCCAATTTCATGTGCATCTCGATGCTCAGCCGTCGCGTCGCACTCGTAAGTGCATTGCACCACTCGATCGACCGCCGGACAGCTCTGTTGCTCAACTGTGGTTGCCGCGGCGCGCTCTGCCAGCCACCCACTCGGAGTCGGACGCGGTCCTCGTTGAGAGCTTTACGACACGAAATTCGTGTTGCGCGCTCGTTGCAGTTTTTGCTGCTGCTGCTGCTGCTGCTGCTGCTGTTATTGTTGTTGTTGTAGTGAAAGTGTTTAGGCCATGTTTGCATATATAAAAAGTGTTCTCATTATTTCATTTTTAGCTGCATTTACTATTTGGCATACATTTTAGCCAAGCCAACAACAACAACAATCACAACCACAACAACAATAACAACAGCTTCGCACACCTTTAAAAAGGTGCCGCTTGGCTCAAGATTCGGCCCGTTCGGTGGCTAACTCTCTGTTTCAGTTTTTTCGCTTCTGTTTCGGGGCGCATGTGGCGTATGCGCAATGTTAATTAAAAATTCAAGCCAAAAATACAATAGCTGCAGAAAACAAACAAAAAATGCAAACTGAAAATGAAAATGTTGCCGCTGCTGCTGCTGTTGCTGCTGCTGCCGTATTTAGAGGTTGTTAACAAATTTGCATAATTACAGCCGCAATAACAACGGCAACAGCGACAACAATGTAACCGACAATCGCCAATCTTAACTTATCTAATGTGAAGG